AGTCCGCCGACCTGTGCGTGTACGACCCCATGGCCAACAGCCGCTCCTTCCTCCCCTTCGCGTCGGACATCGACCGCGGGCTACTCGGCGGCGTCCACTTGATCGACCAGTGCACCCTGCTCATCGCCGCCGCCGGCATCGGCTGCTCCTTCATGCTGGTCGCCGCGGACATGGCCAAGAACCTAGACTGCCCATCGTCAGCGCGCGTCAGGGTGCAGACCGTGTCCTCGTCGGACTCGGACGCCGGCGGCACCATGTGGGGCTGTGGCTGGGGTTGGGGCCCGTCAAGACCAGCGACCTCCACCCATGCCCTTGGTGGTGCACGAACCGGGACACCCACAACGACGCTGCGGTCGTCGGTGGCGGCGTCGTGCACTGGCTAGTGCACTGTGGCATCAGCAGCTCCCCCTCCCTCCAAGTGGGTGTCGTTGGCGAGTACATCCTGACCTACGACGTGAACGCGGCCACCGTGGGTTCAGTCGACGTCCCCAAGGACCGCCGGCACCCCGACCCGCAGAGAGAGCCTGCGTTGCCGTCCGGGCTCGCGTGGTCGCCGGACGGGAAGCTGAGCTTCGTCGTCGCGGACCACTACGTGGTGTTCGTCTGGGTTCTGTCAGGACGAGGCTCCTGGGCGCGGCACGTGCAGACAGACATGAGGGCGGAGCGCGGGGGACCAATGTTGCAGCCATGGATATGGATGGATCGTCGGGTCGAGCTGGAGAGCTTCTTTGGCAATCGGAGGAGCGGCGGCGGCGTGGTGTTGTTGCGGTTTGGTGGTGTCCGCTTTGTGCTTGACATTGAGACTGGTGGTGTTCGCTTTGTGCTCGACATGGAGACGGGGGCAACACGTTCGACGTGCTTGGGGGGAGAGACGGGCATCTCGTACGAGGTGGACCTCGCATCTCGGCTAACCTCCATGAAATCCTTCTAGCTGCTAGCTGCTTCGTCGTTCTCAAGCTCGGGAAGATGGAACGAACATCGTTTGCCTACGCTTGCTGCTCACTTCAGGTCGCTGCTCCTCTGGCGTGCTAAATTGTTACCGGAATCTACTAGATAACTGGGTTGGAAATGGAATTACAGGTTCTCGAGTCACCGGCGATCGCCGCACTCGCCGCCGATGCCCTTAGGCTCAGTTTCAATCTCATTCCAGTTCGAGTTCTCCTTCTCTCTCTCTCCGTTACAAAGGAGCTAGCTCAGAAGCTTGGGCCTCCTCAACCCGTTACATGGGCTTATATCCAATCAGGTCCAATTACCTTTTGATTGGCCTTTCTGGCCCAACTTCCCCGCCTTGGGCTTCTTGGCGCTCCTGCCTCTTTTCTAGGTTCAGAGCCCGCCAAGTCTCTTCCAGCCGACTCAGTCGACGCCGACGCTCCTGCCTCTTTTTCAGGTTCAGAGCCCGCTAGGTCTTCAGTTGGTTCAGCCGACGCTCCTACCTCTTTTTTAGGTTCAGAGCCCGTTGACTTGTCGCTATCATCAGCCATCTTGTGTGCGTCGGTGACATGCCCCCCTCCACGAGACACGGCTTGTCCCCAAGCCGGTGCCCTTGGAAAATCTTGGCGTAGGGAGTCTTCGTCTTCCCAAGTAGCCAGCTCATCCGGTAGATGAGACCACCAAACAAGAACTTGCGGTACAGTCTTGTGATGGTGCTGACGAAACCTGCGATCCAAAATTGCCAGCGGCACCTAAAACGGAATGGAAGGGTCGAGTAATTTGGTGCTTACCAGGTGATCCGTAACCACCGCCTTCTTCAATTGAGAGACGTGGAAAACCAGATGAATACTACAGTCATCTGGGAGTTGAAGTTTGTAAGCTACTTCTCCAATCTTTTCAGTGATGATAAATGGGCCGAAAAACCTGAATGACAGGATCTGTTAGCCAATGAGGTTTGCACATAAGGCTGGATCTTCACATAAACAGCATCACCAATCTGGAAGCTACGAAATGAACGCTTTTTGTCAGCTTGTATCTTCATCTTGCGCGGAGCCCTCAAGAGATGTTGATGAATCAACTGCTGCATTAAGCCCCTCTCTTGAAGCCATGTATTCAGGTCAGAATATTGAGTTGAAGTGGGAGCTTCAATTCCCAGGTGCTGGGGTTCATGGCCATAGAGTACAAAGAAAGGAGTGTTACCCAGTGAAGTGTGGTAAGAGGTATTGTACCAATATTCAGCTAGTGACAGTCAAGAGGACCATTTTGTAGGACATGCATGCACAAAACACCTCAGATAAGTCTCCAAACACTGATTGACCCTTTCGGTCTAGCCATCACTCTAAGGGTGATAGGCGTTGCTCATGTGTAAATTGGTTCCCAGTAGTTTGAACAACTCTCTCCAAAGGTGACTAGTGAAAATCTTGTCCCTGTCTGAAACTATAGCTTGTGGAAGGCCATGAAGCTTAAAGATGTTGTTCATAAATAGCACAGCAACTTGTAAGGCTGAAAATGGGTGGGAAAGAGGGAGGAAGTGGGCATACGTGGAAAATTTGCCCACCACAACAAGGATACAATTATAGGATTGAGAGCGAGGGAGGCCTTCTATGAAATCCATGGTGATAGTTTTCCAAGAACCTTCTGGAATTAGTAGAGGAGCAAGAAGTCTAGGGTAAGCCACTCTCTCTGTTTTGGCTTGTTGGCAGGTGGTACATTGAGCCACATAATCTTTGACAACTTGTTTCAGTTGTGGCCAAGCAAATAACTTCTTTACTCTATGATATGTAGCCTCATAGCCTGAATGTCCACCGACTGCACTAGCATGGAGAGTAAACAATACTTGTTGCTGGATATCTGTTGCATTTCCCAGCCAAACTCTTGATTTGTAGTATATAATTCCCTAAGACAAAGTATACTGGCCTGAAGTGGGGTTAATTGAGAGCTCTTGCAGTAATTTGGATGAAACAGGATCTGCCAAATATGCTGTTTGCAACTGTTGTAGCCAGGGAAAAGTAAGGACTGAAATAGCTTGAAACTCAACAATGTCAGCAACTCTATTTTCTGCACCTTGTTTATAGACAATTTTGTAATTGAGGCCAAGCAACTTAGTCAGAGCCTTGTGCTGAATTGGGGTTAACAGTCTTTGGTCATCAAGATGAACCAAGCTCTTCTGATCTATCCTTATAGTGAATTCTGAGTGCTGCAAATAGGATCTTCAATGATCTATTGTCAAGAGTATAGCAAAGCATTCCTTCTAATATGTTGAAAGACCTTGAGCTCTTGGACCTAATGCCCTGTTAACAAATGCTATTGGGTGCCCTTCTTGCTATAGAACAGCCCCTATCCCCTTTTCAAATGCATCAGTTTCCAAGGTAAATGGCTTTGAGAAATCTGGTAGAGCCAGCACTGGAGAAGAAATAAGTGCTTGTTTCGATGCTTGGAAGGATTCTTCAGTCTCTACTGTCTAGATGAACAATTCCCCCTTTTTAGCAGGTTTGTCAGAGGCTTACTTATGAGCCCAAAACTCTTGACAAATTTCCTATAATACCCGACCATCCCCAAAAAGTTGCGTAGCTCCTTCACATTTGGAGGTACACGGCAATCTGTTATAATATGTATCTTCTTGGGATCTGTAGAGACACCAGCAGAGCTTATGACATGGCCCAAATAGCTAAGCTCTTGTCTAGCAAAAGTGCGTTTAGGGAGTTTGACATAAAACCCATTCTCTTGTAAAACCTTGAACACATCTTTAATATGCAGAATGTGATCTTCCCAAGTCTTGCGGTATATCAACACATCATCAATAAATACCACGACAAAGATTCTTAGAAATGGAGCCAGCACAGTGTTCATAATTCCCTGAAATATTGCTGGACCCCCGATAACACCATACGGCATCACTCTATATTCGTAATGGCCGTTGTGAGTTTGGAATGCGGTTTTTGGCTCATGCCCTTTAGCCATCTGTATTTCATGAAAGCCTGAACAAAGGTCTAGAGATGAGAACCACTGTGCTCCATGTAGCTTGTCCAACAACTCATCTATTATGGGCAGAGGGTACTTGTTTTTTACTGTAAGAGCATTCAGTCGTCGATAATCAACGCATAATCGCCAGTCCCCTGTCTTCTTCTTCACTAGGAGAGCAGGTGATGAATAAGGGCTCGAGCTTTCTTAAATAAGACGCTTATCAAGCATATCTTGAATCTGTCTTTCTATCTCGTCTTTCTGAAATGGGTTGTACTAGTAAGGTCGAAGCCGAAACGGTTGAGCACCTTGGAGCAGTGGTATGGTATGGTCTCCAGGACACTGAGGAGGCAGGTCTGGTATTGGTTGGAAGATGGACTGATATTGTTGGATCAATGAGTTAATCTCCTTTAGATATTGGTCCTCGGTCTTGGAAGAATCAACAACTTCATTTGCAGCATTAAACTAAACACAATACAATATTGAATCATGTTTCTCCATGACAGATAACTGATGCAAAGCAACAGGGAGACCCATAACAGCTTCTGTTTGCAGCCTAAATATCTTCATTGTCCTTCCATTATTACTGAACTAAAACCACTTTTCTGCCCAATAAATTTCCATAGGACTGTTCCCAACCAACCAATCCATCCCTAGGATCATATTATAGCAGTTGAGAGGAAGTATCTTGAAAGAAGTTTTGAAAGTAACTCCCTGGATACACCACAATTGATCAGGTAATTCATGAGTGCACAGAAGCATATCCCCATTTGCAACTCGGACTGTAATAGGCTGTTGTAAAGGCATCTTCCCAAATGCTGCAAAAGCTAAGTGTTCACTGATGAAGCAATTTGTACTTCCAGAGTCCACTAACATATAGACTTCTTGGTGAGCCCAGAATCCTCTCAGCCTGAATGACTTGCTACCTTCAGTTCCCTTCATTGCTTGAATAGAGATGGCAAGAGCTTTTTCAGCAAACTCAATCTCTTCTTCTTCAGTGGAAAGTTGCTCAAACTGTTCTTCAGACAGAAAGCTCCATACCTCTTCTATAGCATACAGGGATATAGTTTGTGGACATTTATGCCCTGGCCCCCATTTTTCCCCATATTTTAAATACAACCCTTAGATTTTCTGAAAGACTTTAGAGCTACAAGCTTATCATCAACTTTTTGCTTGTTCCCTTCCACATTTCTTCTATCTTCACCTGGGCTTGGAGAAAACTTAGGAGAATGTCCTACTGTAAACCCATGTACTCTGGTAGGCTCTTGATAATATTTTCTGCCAGATGAGCTTGAATCATGTCTTCTGATGGGTATATTGTCCATCATCGCTTCCTCCTGCAACAAAGCCAAAGAACTAGCAGAATCTAGATCTTGTGGCCTATGAACCATAATAATAGCTTTGATTTCTTTCTTAAGACCATTTATGAATCTATTGGTGATAACAGATGGTGGAAGGCTCGGATCATGAGCTAGGATTTGGTGGGTGAGGTCACAAAAGTGCTCAATGTACTCTATAACATTAGAAAGCTGGCGGATATGGAAGAATGGCCTAAGCAAATGGTTATGCTCATCCCTATCAAATCGAGCACAAATGGTAGCAGAAAAATCAGCCCACGACATGGAATAAACAGCAGGTTGGACTGTCTGCAACCAAAGAGAAGCTGAACCGGTGAGGTTCATGGTGGCAATACGGACCCAGAGATTGGATTCTACCAAGTAAACCTCAAAGTAGTTTTCACAATTTTGATCTAGAGCTTAGGGTTTGATCCATCAAATTGGGGAAAAGCAACATTAGGCATTGCAGAATTGAGTAGGGATATCATATGCCGATCACGAGATGTAGGATCATCAGAACCCAAAGGAGGAGAGCTATGAGTTTTGTTCTGATTCGCACCTGTGACCGGAGTTGGAGTAAGGGTGGTGTAAACCATCCCAAACCCAGCACTCCGGTGATGAGGTTCTTCGTGGTGGCCACTTGGCTCTGATGTCGCTCCAGACGGGGTCGGTCCCAGTTGAGCGGAATCCGACACCACACTTCCGCCGGACTTGGATGGATCCGAATCGGAGTGCTCCACTTCTCCATCTCCGAGCATCAGCGACTTGGCGGAGTGGACGGTGTGGTTGTAGAGCTTCTCGATGCGCTCACCGAGGTGGTTCACGACAACCTCCAGATCAGAGACGCGGTGGTCGACCTTCGGCTTCCAGGCTTCGAGATCCGCCTTGGCGCCCTTCATCTCGGACATCGACAGCTTCAAATCGATGATCCCCTTGGAGTTCTCGCTCAACAGGGCGAGAATCTGCCCAAATTGCTCCTCCGGCGACGTCATTGAGGTCCGCTCGGGGTGAGGTGGTGGTGGTGGATGGATGGCGCCAGAATCAGGGGTTCTGATACCAAATTCTTACTGGAATCTACTAGATAACTGGGTTGGAAACGGAATTACAGGTTCTCGAGTCGCCGGCGATCGCCGCACTCGCTGCCGACGCCCTCAGGCTCAGTTTCAATCTTATTCCAGTTCGAGTTCTCCTTCTCTCTCTCGCTATTACAAAGGAGCCCGCTCAGAAGCTTAGGCCTCCTCAACCTGTTACATGGGCTTATATCCAATCAGGCTCAACTACCTTTGGATTGGCCTTTGTGGCTCGACTTCTCCGCCTTTGGGCTTCTTGGCGTTCTTGCCTCTTTTCCAGTTCAGAGCCCGCCAAGTCTCCTCCTGGCGACTCGATCGGACGCCGACGCTCCGCCTCTTTTTTTTCAGTTCGAGCCTGCGGGTCTTCAGTTGGTTCAGCCGACGCTCCTGCCTCTTTTTCAGGTTGAGAGCCTGTCGACTTGTCGCCAGCATCAGCCATCTTGTGTGCGTCGGTGACATAAAGATGTTTCATTGAACTTTTTTGTTTCTACGTGTCAATCCTCGTCGTCGTCGTCCACTGGCTCATGCACGCCCGCGGCGCCTGCTTGCTCAGCGAGGACGACGTCAGCGAGTACATCCTGACCTACGACGTGGACGCGGCTGCCGTGGGAGCAGTCGACATCCCCAAAAACCGCCAGCGTGCCAGCACGCCGAGAGGGTCTAGATCGTCGTCGTCCCAGCTGGCGTCGTCGCCGGACGGGAAGCTGAGCTTCGTCGCCACGCGCCAGTGCACGGTGTCCGTTTGGGTTCTGTGGAGATCGACATGATGGAGGAGTGGGGGCCGCTGCTGGGGCTGAAGGCATGGATGGATCCTCGGGTCGAGCTCGAGAGCTTCCTCGGCGATCAGAGGAGCGGCGCGGTGTTCTTACATTTTGATTTTGGTGGTTCCCGCTTTGTGCTCGACATGCAGACGGGGGCAACGTCTCGGAGGAGTTTGACAAGAGAGACGGGCATCCCGTACGAAGTGGACCTCGCGTTTCGGCTCGCCTCCATGAAATCCTTCTAGTTCTGAACATCGATCTGGTCGATCGAGGCGTTTATATTTCCTAATAAAAATAGCGAGTGATGGAACATCGTTTGCCTAAGCTCGCTGGTCACCGCAGCTCTTCCTCTGGCATGCTAAAAATGTTTTATGAAACTTTTGACTTCTTCGTGTCAGTGATGTTATCTACTATATGGTTAAGTTGTTGCGTGCTCTTAAAATACTTAGCACGAAGAAATTTAATGATCATCACCAGTCATTGCCGATAGATAGTCGAGGTGGTTATTTCTTCGTGCGAAGTACTTATTTGAAGAGCACGCAAAAGCTTGCTTTTTGTTGCAGATTGAGATGTGTGTTACTGTTGCCGTATTATCAAATATGGTACTTCGTCCGTTCCAAATTATAAGACGTTTTAGCTTTCCTAGATTTATGACTTTTGCTATGCACTGTATCTAGATGTATAATAAAAACAATATATCTAGAAAAGCCAAAACGTCTTATAATTTAGAATAGAGGGAGTATCATCTAAATTGGTTTTATGAAAAATTGTTGCAGACAAAGAGGATGGATAGAGCCGCGAAGGGTGCAACTATCTATGTGTGCATGCAAAATTTAAATTTGAATAAAAAGAAACTTGTGCAAGAAAGAAGAACAAAGTATACCTATATGGATAGTTGTTTGTTGTGGATCAGACACACGCGCTCGCAACTATTCAATTGTTGGTTTCTTATTATAAAAAGAAATAAAAAGATACAATTTTCTTTTGACATTTCTCCTTGTACAAGTTTTTGTTCGAGCTCAAACTACTTGGACATAAATTATTGTATTCTCTATCTATAATTTTGTTAAAAAGTTTCATGCACCAGTTTAGGTGCTATAGTGTTTGGCAATAGGTAGTTCTACCGGACAATTAAACACTAACTAATTGTATTTGATGGTAGGACGGTAAACCAAATGTACAATAGTACTAGCAAAAAAGAAAAACTCGAAATCAACATAACTGGATTCATGAGTGAATCCCCGCGCTAGAAAAACTCATAGAGCCCCTTCTACTAGCGTAAAACCCATGGAGCTCCTAGAGAAAAAAGAAGTGAAAGAGGGAGAGGAAGTGTGTGAGGTGGACGAGCACCCCTGCCCCCCTCGTACACAGGGCTAAAATCGTGGTGATCGACCTGTTAACAAAGTCCGTGATGCGAACATGTAATAATGCAAAAAAGGCCTTGTGAGGTGTTTGCTTCACAAATCTACAGCAGGCAGCAACCTATATCTTGCCCACACGGCCACATGAGTAGGAAATTCGGCCTCAATTTGTTTGGAAGCAGTTATAGAATCCAAAAACGGCGGTCAAATTGGATGGTTTTCGCCTGAATTTTGGCTTTGCCCCCGTGCCTTTTCTGCTAACTGTCGCCGCGCCTATAAATGAAATGGACGCCGTTCTGGCGTTCTCCCCTTCTAGAGCAGAGGAGAGCAGGCACACCGCACACCTCACCGCAGCGCCCTCCTTGTCTCCTCTCCGGCTCTCCCCGTCGGGATCCATCACCGACCGACCGCACCTCTGCTCGCTCCTGCCGTCCACAGTTGCTGCTCCTCTCTAAGTGCTGTCGATTTGTGCATCGACTGGTTGTCTGGTTCAGGTTCCATCCTTCTGTTGGTAAGCGATCCTACCATGCCCTGAGAGGTGCCTTTGCTCTCTTAGTCTTAGATTAGATTAGAGGCGGTTTCTTCTCAGTCCTAGCGTGCGATTGCATCTGTATCTGGATCGGTCTTCGTTATTAGAGCCAGCGTAACTGCAATTCTTGAAGAGTTTATGCAGTATGTCCGAATATGCAGCAGTGATCTTGCTTGCTTGATCGGATCCTGTAATAAGCAGTACGTGTTAGCTAGTGTTTTCCGCCCCCTTCGATTAAGAGGGGAAAAAAGTAGTACAATTTCATGTGTCATACCCGGATCCTCGGGAACAAAAATGGATTTGATATGCGGTGGAGGTGCATGCTCCTAGATCTCATATCATGGTGCTGGTTTTGGTGTGCCAAGTCGGTTACTTGGAGGATACTCGTGGGAAATGAATTGACTTAAATGTTTTCAGTTGGATGTTTTTGCTAATCGTGTGAATGGCCGTTAGCCTACAATAGTTTCTGTAAATCTTGAGGCCGGGTTGGTTTAGATCCCACCCAGTGCTTCATACTTGTGATCTTCTTGGTGGCCTAACTGGGTTTTTACTGAGCTTTTATTGGGCAAACCTTACTTTAGCTTTTCCTAATCCTAACTAATAAAAATATGTATCTTCATGTCAAATACTGCTAACCCTGACCTGAATCTTTGTCAGGTTATCTTGGTCTAAACAGCTCAATCTGTCAAACAGCCTTGCTATTGTTTTTCCCCCTTTCATTTTGGCATAAACAATCCAGTTGATAACTTTTTGCTAGCTGGAATCGGAATGATGGGCGCCACTACTGACTTCTTGCTGGCACACTGACTTTAGACTCCCATCGTCTACGGCTAATAAATGAATTATCCAGCTATAGGCTGGATGTGCAGCAACAGCAATAATTCTGATCCAGTACAGCTGTAGTTTTATTCATTTTTGTTAGGCTCAGTAGCACATGGGTGAGCAAGTGACCATGTCTCTGCCTGACAGGACAGCTTATGCCAGCTTATATAGCTCTCTTTAGTATACTGAGCATAATGAATCCACTTTATGATTGATCGCAGTGTGATATGTTTTTCCAAGTCGTTAGTCCTATTTACCAGCTGGTCCTTGTTCAAAGATTCATTAATGGTAATAATCTTGCTGCAACTTGACCTAAGGCCTGCTAAATACAACCTTGCATTCCTTTTACTTGGCTATCACAAATTGCTCTTAATTGTCATCATGTACCTGAAAATTATATGGTCTTTCCCTTATCAATCTTAACTTAAATTTCCAAGCCATCTAGCATGAACTAGGTCCAAAATTTTGTGCTTTCACAAGTGAATATTTGAGATGGTCTCTGAATTCAGATTGTCTGTGCTGATCAATGGCTGACGGTGAGGATATCCAGCCACTTGTGTGTGACAATGGCACTGGAATGGTCAAGGTTCGATGCTCATTCTATCTGTTCATTCATTAATCTCTGAAACCTGTAAAAGGAGTTGTTGCAGAATAACCAGCCTATGTTTCTCCTCTCTGCAGGCTGGCTTTGCTGGCGATGATGCGCCCAGAGCAGTGTTCCCTAGTATAGTTGGCCGCCCTCGCCACACGGGTGTGATGGTTGGAATGGGCCAAAAGGATGCCTATGTTGGTGATGAGGCACAGTCAAAAAGGGGTATCTTGACCTTGAAGTACCCCATTGAGCATGGTATTGTGAACAACTGGGATGATATGGAGAAAATCTGGCACCACACCTTCTACAATGAACTGCGTGTTGCTCCTGAAGAGCATCCAGTTCTGCTGACAGAAGCACCACTAAACCCAAAGGCAAACAGAGAGAAGATGACCCAAATTATGTTTGAGACATTCAATGCACCAGCAATGTATGTTGCTATCCAAGCTGTTCTTTCCCTATATGCCAGTGGTCGCACAACAGGCATGTGTTCATTTTCACCTATTAACTGATGAGTTTTTCTAGGACTTCATCTTTGATTCTCGTCTTTGGCGATCTGACCCCTTTTTTCTACTACCTATGTCTTGTACTCTTGTGCAGGTATTGTGCTTGATTCTGGTGATGGTGTGACCCACACTGTGCCAATCTATGAGGGATACGCGCTTCCTCACGCTATTCTTAGGTTGGATCTTGCTGGTCGTGATCTGACTGACTGCCTAATGAAGATCCTCACAGAAAGGGGTTATTCCTTCACTACAACAGCAGAACGGGAAATTGTAAGAGATATAAAGGAGAAGCTGGCCTTTGTTGCCCTTGATTACGAGCAGGAGCTCGAGACTGCTAAGAGCAGCTCCTCT